GAAGGTGAAGTACCTTCTGCAGAGAAGGTCGTGGAGTCATTTACAGCTTCCTTTGGCAAGGATGATGTAGAAGAAGTGTTTGGAGAAGATTCTGAATACGACGAAGATCGAAAGGTACTTTGATGTTAACTGGGGTCTTTGAGATGATTTATATTATGCTCCTTATCTGAAAGTATGTACAAGAAAGAAGGTGTCCTCGGTTTAAGTATGTCTTCATCTCGTTCTTTGGCCATGGCTTTTTCCTACATGTGCATAGTGTATCGCCGTCTGAAATAATTTTTTCTTTTACAATATACGGCTGCAAAGCCTCGCTCCAGTTCAGTAATATGTGTTGCACGAACTAAGGCGACCTTCCACCAGAAACTAAGGCAATAAACTTAAGAGGGTAAAACAGCCTTTTTGATAATTCAAATTACTCTCACGACTACATAGCGAATGAAGAATGGGTCTTAGCATTATAAAATAATGGTACTTTCATACAATTGGAGTTAAACAAGAAGTGCATTCCAATGTTTACCCGCATGCAATCCGTTCAAACCATTTACTATGTTACGTTTTAATCTTCTCCAATTTTCCCATTTTTGCCCCTTTTGGCCATTATGTGTTGCTTTGGACTTGTTTCTACACTTTTAGCCATTATAGTGATATTTCTGTTAATTATTTAACCACTCCTTTACCACTGAATAATATTGTCAAACAGTAATCGAAAATGATTTTCCGACGAAAGCATTTTAATGCCTATCGTAGTGCTTATTTCTAGTCAATACCTCACTTATTTCACTTTCAGTCCTCGCAGCGTTTCTTTGACAAAACAGGATTTCATGAATTGCCTCAAGTTATCCTTAATGGGGTGCCAGTTGATAACGAGGAGGTAAGTGAACTACAACACATTTTATTACACGGCTGATAACAGTTGAATTGGTTCGATATCTATTTAACTTCGTGGTTTGTTTCTTTATTTTTTAGTTTGATAATTTAGACGAAGCTGTCATACGAGAAGTGATGATGCAAACAGGACCAATACAGCATGCAGTGTTTTCGGTAAGGTGATCAGTGTTTGTGGTAGGATGCGAATCAGAGAATTGTAACAGCTATGACATTATCCGAAAATATCTTAGCTGCTTCCAGTAGTAATGTAAGGTATTTCAAAATTTAGCAATCACTCGAAGGCCTCCGAAGTGGAGGAGAACTGTTATACGAATTCTGCCGAATATTTCAAAGGTAACAGAGGATCGCAATTTTTGCATGCTATTAGGTTTGTCGGTGCTTTGGTGAATGTGTTAGACACAACTTCTGAAGTTGAAACTCTCAAATATCACAGTGAAACTCGAAAGTTAAAATTGTGCGTGTATTATTTAAAAATAATTGTGATGTTTTTCGAGCAATTTGGAATGGAAAAAAAGATTTGTCAATTTTTCAAGGATAGATCTTTGAACCAAGCTCTCTATGTTTGTATCATGAAGCTAATTTCTTGAGCTATTATTACTGATCTGAAACTTAAAGACTCGAACATTTTATTTAACTGGGTATTTTTACTTGTAGGGCGCCATTTATCGTTATTCCAATGTGTATGAGTACGTCATGAGTCAACCAAACGTAGTCCCTCGAGTAAACAGCATGATCCAGTCAATGGAGAGACCTTATATTGACTTGACCGGCAGCCATCGGATGCCAGGTGCAGGTACACAGATTACGGTTTACCTTAGGCTGTTACAGGCTCTCGGTCAGTGGGACGATCGAAAGAGCTAGCAGGTGAAGGGAAGACGAGGGGTGTGAGAGCCAGGAACAGGCAAATTGCACTTTTGTTTCAGGAACAAGTTACGCGCACGGTTATCTTTTAATTTCGATGTCAAACTACTATGTCTCTGTGAAAACAACGATAACAACCTTGTTTTTTCCCATTTCATGGAAGACATGCAACCTTGCTTTACTTTTTTTTTCCGGATATGGTTTTTGAAACACCCACAAACGTTTTAGAAAATTTGTCGGCGGTATTCGAGCAATCCTCTCAGGGTCCTCTCAGGGTCCTCTCAGAAAGACCAGCAAAAGGCTTGTACTTCCAAAGCTTTCCTTGTTCCTTCATGAGAACAAGAAGAATGTTTGCTATTTCTACATTTTTGGTTGACGTGCTAAGAATCTATTTGCACCAAATTTAACACAGATTTAATTACAACTTGACCTCAGGTTTTAGTAGCGTGTCATAAGACTTAATGAATTTTGAGAGAAGGAAGAAACACTTGGAGGATTCTAGGCTGCGCACAATCTTTATCTTGGATTTCTACGGTCAATGGGTTAAATGTTTAAACAATATCCGCTAACAAGAGAAGATGGATGGTGAGAAGGTTAATCCTTAAAAGTGAGTTGCTTTGTAGCTTTAGAAGAGCAGAAATTGGCCGTATTTGTAATAAAACGTTAAGGCAGTAAGACTGTTTAAATTTCTGACAACAAGAACAGTTGAAGGGTTTTTGAGTCAATCCCCCATATAGGCCTTATTTTCAAGGGAATCGCTCGCTAGTTATTTTAAGATCAGTCACTTTAGAAATCCCAGAGGGGTCTGGAAATAGCCAGTGCTGTGACGCAAAACATCTATGCAACGGGTATGGTAGCATTATCCAGGGGGAACTGCTACATTATCTTAAAACACTTTGAGAGAGATAACCTTGAGAGAGGGACTTGTATAGAGAGATTTAAAATTCTCTGAGGCTTAGTTCACACTAGCGACATAACGACATAGAGAAAACGACATAAGAAGGACGTTGTGTCGTTATGTTTGCAGTGTGAACATCCTGACATAATGACATCATAGCAACATAACAGCATGAACATAACGACATGAGGAAAAAAACTGATCTTTTCCTTATGCTTTTATGTCGTTGTTCACATTGCGACATAAGTTATTATCTCGTTATATCGCTAGTGTGAACCGGCAGGCCTTACTCTTCTTCCTCTGTCGCCGGACACCAAGATACACTGCAGTTGTCACAGTTTTTATAACTTTGTGTGTGTGGTTTTTTTGTTTATTTGTTAGATGTGGAAATGAATGATCCTGAAGCATTTGGTATGCTTGACAGTTCTCAAATGGCATCAGNCTGTGACGCAAAACATCTATGCAACGGGTGTGGTAGCATTATCCAGAGGGAACTGCTACAATACCTTGAAACACTTAGAGTGAGATAGCCTTGAGAGAGGGACTTATATAGAGAGATTTAAAATTCTCTGAGGCTTACTTCACACTAGCGACATAACGACATAGACAAAACGACATAAGAAGCACATTGTGTCGTTATGTTTGCAGTGTGAACATCGTGACATAATGACATCATAGCAACATAACAGCATGAACATAACGACATAAGGAAAAAAGAACTGATCTTTTCCTTATGCTTTTATGTTGATGTTCACATCGCGACATAAGTTATTATCTCGTTATGTCGCTAGTGTGAACCGGCAGGCCTTACTCTTCTTCCTCCGCTGTCGCCGGAAACCATGATACACTGCAGTTGTCACAGTTTTTGTAACTTTGTGTGTGTGTGGTTTTTTTTGTTTGTTTGTTAGATGTGGAAATAAATGATCCTGAAGCATTTGGTACGCTTGACAGTTCTCAAATGGCGTCAGTGATTGTGAAAGATTTGAAATACTTTACAAAGCAAGGAGGTAAATGATAATTTAGAAGATTAAACGAAACTTACCTGGAATTTTCAGGCGCGCTACTCAAACAGACAAAGCCACCGTAACAAATATACATAATATGGTTGAAAACCCCATCTGGCACTGAAGAGGCTGGCTCTCTACTAATCGTGTATGAGGAGTTGACAATAAGTACAATATTTATTGAATCACACCAGAAGCATATCATCTAGGTGACATGCTTCTGATCACACTTAGATTAATACATGAGAAGTATTATGCAGTACAGGTTGATTAAAGAAAATAACAAGGAAAGAAGTTATTAATTAGAGCCAGGAGGCTAAAGGAACCCACAAAGGTTTCGAGTTGAGCCTCAGGACTACGTCGAACAATTCCATTAAGTGACAGGGAAATTTGTGCCCACTGAAGTCGTAAACCAACTGGAAATTTGTGTTCATCTACATAAAAGTTTGCTTCAAATTTTCTCATTCGAAATAGGTCATGTTAGCAAAATAACAGAAAAAAACGAGGCGCAAGATTTATTGACTTCTGATAATTTTCGTATGACATCTGTCGAACTGTTATTTACTTTATATCATTTTGAAACTCTCGCTCCAGGCGTAAGTTGGTAAACATAACAGTTCATGTTTACAGATTCGTTATGGTGTGTTAAGTTGTTTCTGTTTTTATTTGTTTTGCAGAAGAGCTTACTTTGAAGCCTATCACTAACTGGGTGATTGCTGATCTCGCTAACAAGGAAGGCAGAGCTCTTGTTAAGGCTGCTCTCCAGCAGATGGTACGTAAATGCGTTTACAGTTACAGTTCGGAACATCTTTCAAATAAAGCGTAATTTTCAGTCCGAACTCAATCTTTTATTCCTCCATATAGAAGAAGCTACTTGCAACCTTGATTCCCTGAGGTTTTTGCGCACATAACGTCTGCTTGGGGTAACTTTCTAGACATAGCTAGACATGTTCATACAGAGTCAAGAAATAGTGACTGCTCATTCAAAAAGAGAACGATTGATGGGAAGCTACCGTTTGAATGCCCTTTAAATGTTTGTAGTCAATTCTTGTCTAGCGCGATGCTTTCTCTGCGTAAAGTCGTATGTTAATGAGAAAAAATGTAAACAATGACGTCAGCAAAGATTCGCTTAAGTATTCAAANTTGCCTCATTATCATGAGCGATACAGTTTCTGATGGAGGTACAAAAATATCCGTTCTGAATATTGAAAGGTCACAGCACGATTAACTGTCCCATGAAATCTGAGCCCGATGTATTGAATACTTTTTGCGCGATACGGGTTTAAAGGCTGAAAATTTTACAAAGAATACAGGAGCTCATTAGCACTTTTGCCATCCAGAAGTTTGGCAGTTTTTGAAAGCCAATTTCTCCTCGAATATTACACTCAAAGAGCCACAGATTTCACCAATTAATACATTTCATAAGCTCTTTAAATGTTTGTAGTCAATTCTTGTCTAGCGCGATGCTTTCTCTGCGTAAAGTCGTATGTTAATGAGAAAAAATGTAAACAATGACGTCAGCAAAGATTCGCTTAAGTATTCAAAGAGACAACGACCGTGTTCTCAGGTTGAATCATTAAATCTAGTCTAAATAACGACAAAATCCTCTAAAGGGCAACTTTTAGTGAAAAAATGTACAAAGATAGTGAAAACGAGCTTCATTTTCCACTACGAATTCTGAGAATGTTTTGCGTTTTCCTTACAGAAATCATCATCGAGTGCCAGAGTAGGCCTCATCCACAATCCAGCAGTAACACAGACAGACCATCAGCCAGAGGCACTTCACATTGCTAGGACAGTCGAGGCAGTGTTAGCTTCAAAAAGTCACGTGACACCAGCGATGCTAACATTCATGGAGAAGCTGCTTGACGAGAGCAACGATTTTGAAAAGCTGTCCTCGGATTCCAAGGCAATGGAAGACCTCTTAGCCAAGGCCTCGGTGTGTTCATGTAACAAGTGGTTTTAGATAAGTTACTTTTACAGTCGTTAACGGACAGTGCTGTTGTTAGTTAATAGCGTTTTAGGTACTGTTTCTGGTCTGTTTCTGGTTCTGTTTCGTCATGGCTGAAAACAATGATACAAACGGTCAGAAATGTTTTCATCAGAAAAGTACTTATTTCTCAAAGGCGAAAACTTTTCATCACTAACGTTCACTAACTACGTCAAGTAAAAAACGGAACATTGAAACGTGGTACAATAAGAGTATGCAGTGCGTCACGACAAAAGCTCTTAGCATTTTCAGTAGATCTGATTACTTTTAAATGAAACTTGTAATATACAAATGTCTTCTGATACCTACAGGGCCTGAAAGCAGAAGCTATTAAAGCCAAGCTTATCGATAGCAATGCCTTCAAAGGGAAGCTGTTCTCTCACCAAGCTTTCTGTAAACGAGTTGTTAATCTTCAGCCAGGACAGGCCGCGGTCATAACCAATGGAAGGGTAAGCGTACCTCAAGGGGGGGGGGGGGGGG